CTGGTTGGGGAACGCCTTAGCGCTGACGTCGCCCGTCGCCCGTAGAAATTGTGAGCGGTTCGAGGGATTCGCACTGGCCTCAGCAGAGGAGCGTTCTCGAAGCAACAGGACCGACCTCAGGTTCTATTCAATGAAGATGGCCTCATGCTGCAAGTGGAGACGACTATAGTCTCCCATACTTTGGACTGAGGTCTTGGAGCAATGGCGTCAACGGTGACGAAGTTGAAGCGAGAAGAGCACAGATGGCGAAAGCCGAGGGTGACCTCGAAAGTCCTTTTGAGTGGTAAAATCCTACCTCCGCAAATCTCGTTGTTGGTATCCGGCATGATTTTTGGTTAATTAACTCGAGTCTCTCATGCCTATTTCACTATAAGTATTTAACTGCAGACTGTCTACAGTGACTTATGTTGCCACCCACATGTATCCACCCGATTGTTTTTTGGAAATTTTGGATTCTCGTGTCCTTCCGCAAAGTAGCTGGGTTGTCTCGTTGGCTTAGCTCCCCTTGTACTCGAAGATGTGTAGGTTCGCAGCCCTTACGTCGCAATCTCGACCAACTTCAAGGGAAACAAAAATGAATCCCTCATCCAATTCGGAGGAGGATCAGATTAGAGAAATGATTCAGAAGTGCTTTGAGGATGGGATATTACCAGAAGGGCTGGACCATGAGACTTGTGTAACAGAGGGCCAGACGGCTACAATCACACTAAATGCAAGATTGGATGACGTGGTAGTTAAATGGTTGAAGGAAAGGACGGTCGTCGTCATTTTCCAAGGGGATGCAAGGGATTTGCTGMATAAGATAAAGGAAATGCTTATCCGTATTTATGAGGACGGGTGGTTCGCAAACCCCTCAGGCCAGATGGCTACAATCACACTAAATGCAAGATTGGATGACATGGTAGTTAAATGGTTGAAGGAAAGGACGGTCGTCGTCATTTTCCAAGGGGATGCAAGGGATTTGCCTCATAAGATAAAGGAAATGCTTATCCGTATTTATGAGGACGGGTGGTTTGCAAACCCCTCAGTAAACCCGTCACTGAAAAGGGGGAGAGTAAAATCTGAAGGCTCCAGTGTTTTTTCATACGTGGCAACAACAAAGGATATTGCTGATTTCATGGTCCAAAAAGGTTCGGACACAATTGTGTTCAAAGATCCACACATGCAATCAGACTCGTTCTCATTCACAATTTTCATGCATGTAAACAGCAGCGCAGCAAACTGGCGACATGCGCCCACTCAAAACTCAGAGATATAGCATCCAGATACGAGTTCACTCTCAACTGGCTATGGCGACTCAGCGCCCAAACAACTCACTGTTCACATACACTGGATCACCCTGGATATCCCACACGCGTCACTCTGAACACTCACACATACACACACACACTTCACGCTAAACTACAGCTATGGCAGCTATGGCTGCCTCTACCCTATCGCTATACTAAGCTCCTTCTCTCTCGCCCACTGCGTCCTCCGGGCTCACTACAGACCTCCTTGCACAAGTCATTGTGGCAGCGCTTCCGCATGGCTCATGCAGGAATGAATGAAAGGCTGGGCGCTGCCTCTTGATTTATACTTCGGAAACTCGTTGGTCTGCCCTTTGCCATCGGCCCATGGTGCTCACAGTCCCCTGTGGTACTTGCTGGACCGGACTGGGACTGACTGGACCTTACCGCTGACTGACTGTGGACTCACTGCTAACCTACTGAGGTCGGACTGCGATTGCACTGCGGTTTAGTCCACCACTTGACTCGCCACTTGACCACTTGCCCACTTGGCGACCTTCTAGAAGGACTCCAGCTAGACTTCTGGAACTCGCTAAGACTTCTACTCTCTAGATCTACAGATCGAACCTCTGCTGCCTATGGACCTATGACAGACCTACCAACTGTCTACGAATACACAGGTCACAGGTTCAACTCTCGGGGACTACACAGATACTGTACATGGGTAGGGTGAGGTCTAGGGATCGAGCCCTGGGATCTGCGTCTGTTCCTGCAAAAGGTGAAAACCGTTTCACACACCACGGGTAGTCTTGATATTCGATATCAGGTACAATTTCGCCGTTGGGATAAGAAGAAAGAACTGGATGACCTACAAGCACAAGAGGCCGCAGGCAAATTTTGGGTCATGGCCAGACGGGTTTCTCCCCGGGCAACGTTTCATTTGCACTGGGCAGTAGAGAATTCTATGACCAAGATTCAAAAAACCTACGTCGTAGTAATTTTATAAGTAGCTCAAAATTCTCTTGAAGTTCTCTCAGTCAAAGCCGGGTAATGGCCCCGGTATCTCAAACTTTCAAAATTCGATGTAAATTTCCATATGGGACGCTGGGCCCGGTTCCCAGCACGTGCTGCTCCCCGCGAATAGATTGGAGCCTTGTCCCAAAAAAAAAGAAAAAAGAAAAGAAAAGAAAAAAAAACTACCCACCACAGAAGGATAGTCACGTTCCCCGACTGATGAACGTGAAATTCGATCTGGTGCCAGAGGCAAGACAGATTTGGAAAGAGAAATTAGAGTTTGAGAAAGACGGGGAGGTTTTCAAACTGGAATTTGTGCCGCAAGCGACGGATTGGTGCAAAAAGTGCAAATGGTATTATCACATGGAGGACAGTACAGCATGTCCACGTCACCCACAACACCACACACACACCCAGGGTAATGCACCACACTCAGGGGTAGGCACTGCATCCAGGCACAAGGCCCATCATACGCCTGGCCCTTCAGGCTCTGCACCTCAGCCGGTCCCAGGGGCTCATAAGTTCCTACATGCTCCAACATCAAAGATACCCAGCTCCCAACCAGTGGGTGGCCCCTCACACAGCCACAACGTTAGTCAATCGAAAATGGCTACGCCAGGCCCAGGACCATACAGGCGGCAAGGGGCGGCCACACAGCCCCTTACCGGTTCAGCACCCATGGTTCAGGTCAGTCTCGCAGCCGGCTCGTTGGCTATGCCTCCGGGTCCTGGCTTTCATTGGGCGCCAGGTTGGCAGAATGGCAGATTCGCTATGTCAGGGGGAGCAGGGCATGGAGGCATTCCTCCGCTTACCCGACTTTTGAGCCGGAAACACCCCCGCCAGGGGTACCCCCCGCTCCACACCCAGGTAACACCTCAGCGGGAGTGCAATCGCTATCAGCATTACAGGGGGGACCGGTTACGGGGACAGGAGGAGTTGCACCCCCTGCAACAAAGGCCCAGGCCCCCACACAGGGAGGCAGTCAATCTATGCCAATACAGAAGACTTGACTCCCAAGTGAGTCTGTGAAACACACACCGGAAGCAGCAGGGACGATGTCTGCACAAGGCGGTGAGAAGGGGACAGGGGAAGCTGAAGGAGCACATCAGGGAGCAGAGGTACTGCGAACAAAGGGTTCATTGGAACACCTCTCCCTGAGAGGGAGTAAATTCCCAGCTAAACAATGACAAACGCAGCTAGATGAGATTGGGGAGGAAAAATCCTCTTGTTCATTTAGTTTTTCTGATGGAGAGTCGTCGGCCTCGTCTGTATTACCGACATTGGAAATGCTATGGAGCCTGAGTCAAGA